GGTGGGGAGAGGGATGAATTCTTCAAATGTTCAATTTGAAAAATAAAATGAATATTTTTTTTTCTTTTCTTTTGATGAAGGTTAAATTTGCAAAAGGCTTTTGTCGTTTGAGAGGAAAAAAAAAAAAAAGAAAATACAATAACGTTACAAATGTACAACATTATTATAAGTGGATACGTGCTCATAATAATATATATAAATACGTATATAATTAATATGTAATTGGGGCTTAAGCCTTTTTGCAATACGCAGAAAACTGCTTCATATTATACCCCACTCACTAGTTGATGTGCACTGACGATTAATCGAAGCTTTTCTTGTTCACTTTTTTACAGAGTCAAGAAAGAAAAACGAGTTGTTCGTTGCATTTTTTTTTTTTTTTTTTTTTTCTTCCCATCCCCCATTGTGCTTAGCAAAAAATAGCAAAAAATTTTTTTCCTTTCAAAAAGCAAACAAATTTGGCATTTGTAAATTATGTATATATATATATATATATATGCGTTCTTTTTTGAAGTGCAGGAAAGAAAAAAAAAAAAAAAAAAAGATGACTTTTTTTTTGGCGCAAATTCGGCTTATTTTTTCCTCACCATTTGAACAATAAAAATTTGCTACTTGTTCATGTATGCGCATTTGTATTTTTAAAAAGAAGAAAATAAAAAAAATAAAATATATAGGAACATGTGCGCATATTCTTCCAAGCATGGATTGGGTTATTCTTACCAACGTGCTAAGATTTCTTATTTTATATTTTACATTTTTTATGTTCCATTTTTTCCTTTTTTTTTTTTATCACCCCCGTTGTACGATGGACGACAAATAATTGGATAAGAACAGCATTACCAGGTTGTTGATTACACAACCGTTATGTAGAGATTAGCTGATTTTATAAGGCTTATACTTTTCATAACCTTCACATTAGGTTTATCACAATAAAACATTTTAAAAACATCTATATATTTTTTTAAAAGCTATTTGATGGAATTGCGTGTTTTTTTTTTTTTTTTTTTTCCATATTCCATAAATTGGTCATATAAAATATATCCATTCGTGCACAAGTTTTTTTTTACATATTTGGTGCATCCATTTGTGTATATATTTCTATGTTGACATTCGAAACAGTGGCATGGGATACACATACACAATATGGAGAAGATAATGTTAGTATCAATGGTATACATATATGTATAAATGAAAAAAAAAAAAAAAAAAAAAAAAAAAACATTACATACAAAAAAGACCTCTTTAAATTAAATGTTCGATGGGTACATTAGTATTCTAACCCTATCTCCAAAAGCTTTGGGTGGGATATTACTTCTAAATCTGGCACGTATAACTCCACTGTTTCCATGAGTTCTGCATACCTTTCCCCATATGCACTGTAGAAAGGGTAAAATATAAGATGTAAGGAAGGTATGAATGAATATGGAAAAAACGGACAGAAGGCAAAAAAAAAAAAAAAATCTCTCGACGTCTGCAGGTAACGTAAATACACATGGGATATATAGTGCACCTGTTATTACTTTCACTCCTTCATACCTTAATCTTCACTCCATCGTGGTGCTTATTTGTCCTATATACGTAGGCAATTTTTTTTCCTACGTAAAACTGAGCATGCTTCTTTGTATTTACATTTCTTATCGATATAAGTGTAAAGTTAGGGTCTTGGTTTCTTTGCGATCTATTAGGGAAGGGAAAAGGTGTATATATATGTTTACCTTTTTGCGGAATGGTGTGCAGTTGGTGTTACAAAATAAAAGGCGAAGGGGGATAAAAACTGAGCCAGGAATATGCACATTTTCTAATCACAATGTTTAACAACACAGTACACATTGTGCATATGCATATTTTCTTTTGTTGTGTGTATATATGTGAAGCTTTGGAGCCATTTTTTTTTTTTTTTTTGCAAAATAGAATAAATGTCTGTTTTGTTAAAGGGAATTTATTTTTAAACAGGTGTTACATTTTTTTTTTTTTATTTTATTTATTTTTTTGTTCAAGAAGCTACTTTTAGCTCATTCTTCGCGTGCACTATACATGTATCAATTTTTTATTGGTGAAAAGGGTCACTGTGGTGGGTGTCATTTTATCTTTATTTTTTTTTATTTCCATTCTAATGTGTTTTCATAGGCTTAAATATCAATATATAGGCACCTTGGGGTGTATGTGGAAGTGAAAGGTATAGATGAAAACTCGTACATAAAGTTCGTTGCACTTTCCCGGCTCGTTTGTTCCTTGTTCCCATGGTTATATATGTGTTGTATTATTCATGCTTACCTTTTGTATCCCAAGATAACTCCTTTCTCATATAATCGAACTGCTGTAAGCTTTTTTGGTGTTTTTTTTTTCTTCATCAAAACTTTTTTTACAACTTTTTTCACTACCTTCTTGGCAGCTTTTTTACTTTTGGCATTGCCAATTTGTTTCTTGTTCTTTGTTTTATCCATTTTGCGTGTGATAGTTGTTTGTACTGTGAGTATTGTTGGATATGTTTGCAGCAAAAGATGTACAACTAATGATCATGAAAATATGCAAACGTATGCGTATACATGTTTTACATATATATATATATATATATATATATATATATATATATATAAAGGTACAGATGGCTGAAAAAAAAAAAAAAAAAAAAAAAAAAAAAAAAAAAAAATTTAAAAAAAAAAATAAAAGATGGCTGAAAAAAAAAAAAAAAAAAAAAAAAAAAAAAAAAAAAAATTTTAAAAAAAAGTTGCGAATTCGCATGTACATAAAATATGCAATTATTAAAAAAAGAAAAACGCACGAGTATACATATATTATATACATTACATACTGTAGGTCCCTTTTTTCCCAATTGATTTTCAAACTCTGCTTTAAAAGTTAAATGAAATAATAAAAGAACCGCGCAATTTGACACGTTCAAATTGACAGCGATAGTCGTCACGCAAAATAATGTTGTTGCGTGTATGTATAATTATTATATACATAATACTATAATATAATCGCAATTATATGTAAATACATTTCTTCCCCTTTCCCCCCTTTGCACTTGGAAGTTTTTTTGCTAGGGACATCTTTGAAGGGCACCGAGAAAAAGATACATAAATATATATATATATATATATATATACAAACATACTATGTCATGAGTGTAATGCTGTGCATATGTTCTTTTTCTAAATTGATAAGATGAGGAATCTTTAACACCCCATACATATATGCTCACAAAAAAATATATATGCAAAAACATATATATTTATTAAGTCGTGGTGTGGAAGTGATATTTTTTTTCTTTATTGTATTTGTGTTATATATAAGATATATTTGCTAAAATTAAATTATCACCTTATTAAATCAATCTTAAAGGGTTTTGTTTGCGCTGATACAATGATGATATCATTGGAATTATTTTATGATTCATATTGTTGCGCAATTATGTATATTTTTGTAACCTTATGGTTACCTGTTTTTTTTTTTTTTTTTTTTTTTTTTTTTTGGTTTTCCCCCCAATCCTTTATTTTCCCCTGATTTTGTACCCTTTGATGTCCTTTCAAGAAAGAGGAACAACTTTCCAAAAGGAGCAAGTATAATAAAACATTTATGGTGGAAGATATTGTATTTTTGTTTTAACTTGTTCAAATTTGTAATATTTTCTTTTTTAAACCATTCGAGCCATGTGTTGTTATGAACTAAAATATAACATAAAATAACAGAGATTTTTAAAAAAAAAAAAAAAAAAAAAAAAAAAAATCATTATAGTGTGGAGAAACAAAGTTGCTACTAAAATAAGTCACGTCAAATTTAATAATTCATAAAAGAATTAAAAAAAAAAAAAATAAAATACCCCATCCTTTACATACCACACATACTATATGTGCTAAATATTATACACAACGTGATACATACATTATACTTAAGTGCGTGTTAATACACGAGCGGATGAAAAGAAGGATGTAGATCCGCTGAAACATTTAGAAAATTACTTAAAAAGGGCACTGAAGGTGTGTGTGTGTGTTATTGAATGATGGGGTGGGTGGGTGTGTGCTTTCGGTACCCTTTACATTTTTATAAAAATAGGTTGTAAATTAGTGGGAGATTAAATAAGGCACAAGAAACGGGAAGAAAATTACAATAAGGTGTAAAACAAACTGAACAAAATTTGGAGATACAAAAAAAAATGAATATGAAAGTCATGCATGCTGAATTCATGCACCAAAAAAGAGTGGAACGGGGGGATGCGGATCATATGTTCTATCCTTCCAAGCTTTTTTTTTTTTTTTTTTTTCACACACACACAGCTAATTCTTCAGTTACGCTCACGCAATTTTTTCTTGAGCCATTTTCAACGCTTTTCACAGTGCACCATAACAAAATTGGAGACATCGGAAAATTCTGAAAATTTTGCCTCATATAATTCGGTATCTACGTTAAGAAATGGATTGGTAAAATAATGACTTGGAGGTGTTAGGAAGTGTAAATCGAAATTGTTATTTCTTAATTGATCAAAGAATTGCTGAACCCCATCTCTGTTTTTTTTGCACACATAAAGAAAAATACCGTTTTTTTTTAAGGTTAAGTTAATTAAATAAATAAGTGAAGGTACTATTTTTTTATCGTATATTAAATCACTTCCAATAATGTAGTCATATGTAACAATTTGATCGTTTTCTCTTAAGTAAGTATTTTCATTAGTCCAATCGATATTACATATTTTTATTTTATTTCTCCAATCAGAATCTAGATAACAAAATAATTTTTGATTAATCAGTACATTATGTGAAATGTTACTTAGCGTGAATGGGTTAATATCACTGATTATTAAATTTTTAGGACCCTTATCAATTCCCCTGAGAAGTATGTTTGCATGTAGAAAAAGTGAAATGCTGGCAAGTCCACTTCCTGCACCTATCTCTAAAATAGTCTTGTTGCTAAAAAGGGTATTATTTTGCATACACAAGTCTGAGATCCATTTACTTATTATGAGACAGCACTCCCATATGTTAATCCCTGTAACATCATTATGTAATTGTACATCTGTTGATATACTATTTCCAAATGGATTCCCAAAATAATTTAAACCTATTTCTCTTATCCGTATAATGATTTCTTCTTCATTTTTCACATTTTTTCCCTTTAATTTATCGTTAATTATCAATTCGTATGTATATTCTTGAACTATTTTTGCTTCCCCTAAATCTGTTGTGAATAATCCATTGTTGTTATTATTTACTACATGTTTGATTTCCCCATACTCATTCCTACTCTCTGACACTGGATCTCTATGTCTGATGTTGTTCATCGGAATTTGTGCACTTGCACTGTACACATCATAATCGCTGCAGGCGCTGCTGTCACTACTCCCTCCGCTTCCTCGGCTGATACTGCTGTCTCCTCCTAGGCCCCCCAGATTGGCTAGATTTCCTGGGTTTGCTAGATTTCCAGGGTTTGCTAGATTTCCAGGGTTTGCTAGATTTCCTGGGTTAGCTAGATTTCCTGGGTTTGCTAGATTTCCAGGGTTAGCTAGATTTCCTGGATCGTTTTGATCTCCCCCCAGCCCAGTTCTCACTCCGCCGATCACTCTGCCTTCCACACCACTTGCTGCATCGATTCTGGATGGGTCATTGTACTTCCTATTTTGATCAGTGTAAAGAGACTCCTGCTCATCCAAAACACTCGATATGGGATGGCTCAGTATCAGGTGTAATATATTTTCATCCTGAATGTTGAATGCCTCGGATAGGATATTTTTATTAAATATGTTTTTCTTCAGCAAGTCGATTTTGTTGGCTTCCTTGTACAGGCGAATTTGGTTTGGTTCCGTTTCTGCTTGATTTCTCGGGGTATTGCCATCATGGTCATGCACCTTTCCAATCGCGTTTCCTGTGTTGATATCACAGCCATTAACATTGTGTGCTTCATTTGTGGTGTCATTAGCAGCAGAGTGGGAAAAAATGGAGCTAAAAAAATTGAGGGAGTTTATTTTTTTTTTGACGATGGCACTCAACTGGTAGTTTTCCTTCAAAGGAGGGCCTAGAATAAAGTCCTTCTTCATGTGTTCATACAATTCGTTTGTTTTTTTTTCCATAGTTGCGTATTCTGTGCTATTTAAAATGTAGTCGAACAGTAGTATTTCCTTTACAGCTTCATAATGCTTGTTCTGTATGGCCCACAGGAGTGGGCTATTTCCGCTTGTGTTAAGTTGGTTATACCCAATTGCACACTGGTAAAGTAGAAAATGAATCATATCCACATTATTATTTGCACATGCAAAATGTAATAAGCTGTTATTATTTTCATCCTTTGCGTCGTTAACTGTATTTATATTTGCATGTTCAAGTATTTTCTTTACCTCTTCAATATCGCCTGTTCTTACGTAGTAAATCAGATCTTCTATTTCTTCTTCCAGACTGGTGCAATTGTCATTCCCTTTATTATTATCATATTTTCCTTCTGCTTCTACCTCCATTTCGAGTAACAAATTTGAATTATGATCAAGTTGGGTTTATGTATATGTATACATATATATATATATTTATACTCCCCTTGTGTGTTTTCACACTCTGAGGAAAAGACGATGCGGTTACACAAAAAAAGTATATACATACACGCATAACTCTTCAAAAGCGTGTATGCAAAAAAAAAAAAAATAATCCGTTCTGCACGTGTTGTTAATTTGATTTGTATGTACTTGTAGGAGAAAAGTGTTCAAAATGATGCTATGCTTGTTAAACTTTTAAGTATCCCAATTTAACAAAAATGCAGAAAAATGAGGAAAAAAAAAAAAAAAAAAAAAAACTAATTCATAAAAGTGGTATAGGAAGCAAGTTTTTACAATATTCATAAGTATCTATTCCTCACTGACAAAACAACGAATAAAATGGTATTCACTTTTCCAGAGTATTCCTGTGACTCTTTTTTTTTTTTTTTTTTCTGAGTTTTGGTTTTTTCATTAATTTCGTTTTTTTTTTAGTAAAAAAAAAAAAAAAAAAAAAAAAAAATTTTAAGCTTTTTTGAAAGGGTTGTGGGATGGGGAATAAATAATAAAAAAAAAATTATTTCACTATGTAGAAGTATAACCGTTTTGCCATACGCACACCTTATTCTTTTTCCTTTTTCTGGGATTCCTTTTTTTTTTTTTTTTTTTTTTATGGGATTTCTTTTTATTTTCCTCTCTTTATTTATTCACTTGTTTTTATTTATTTATTTTATTTTTTTTTTTTTTTTCTTTTTCGGTATGATGTACAAAGCTGAAAAAGGATCTCATGAAAATCTAAGAAAAGAATAATTTACACGGAGTAATGATATGCATTTACACAGATTAAGGGAAAAAAAAATCTAACATCTAAATGTGGGAGTAGTATTTGTTACACATATGTACAACATATGTAAGTGTATACCTATTCACGTATATAATATAGTGACAAAGTGGATGTGGCAAGAGGCCTTACGCCCAAACGAGGAAGAAAGTGAAAAAAAAGAAGGAAGAGAAATACATGCAAGCACAACAAATATACATACATGTACATATATAACAACAAAACATGACAATTCCATTTATGGGGTATGATTAAAATGGAAAATGTGTTATGTGCAAAAATTGTCGAATGCAAAAATAAAAACTTAGCAAAACACAACTAGAGAATCTCAAAGCAACCTTGTTTGTAGTTCCGCCTGAACGTGTTGCATTCTGAGACTAAGAACTCAGGGCATTTGAGAAAAACCCTATTTGAATCCGTTTTGATGGGGAATAAGTAAACGAACGGATAAGATAATAACCAAGGAACCTGACACAAATAAGCCCAAAGAAAAGAACTTACTTTATACATCGATATTATATAAGACATTCGAAGTTTTCCCACGTCTCTCACATTTCTCGTGTCGTTCACTACTCCAACTGCGCCCACGTTTAATCAACTCTACTCCACGTCGAAATGGAGATGAGAAGAATGTGTTTTTTTTCATTAAAGAAAAATATGAGCCATTGTGAGGAGGCACCAAAAAGTGAAAGTACACAAGCCCCGTTTGAAGAATCCAACGGAGGGAAAAATAACGATTCTATTCTTGACGTTATAAAAAAAATTCCCATAAATCCATTTATTGATAGTAATGAAGATTTAAATAAGTATAAGTATGGCATAGAAAAAAAGGAAATACAAAGATACACAGGAGTGCAAATATATGATGAAGAAGACGAGAAAGATTACAAAAAAAAGAAAACAATTGACTATCCATTTCCTCTTAGTAAAAATGTTATATTCGAAAAAAACAAAATAAACAAATCAGAAGACCGTATAAATATAAATTATAGTAACATAGCCTGTGACTTATACCCAGAAGAAGGATACAAGACACCAAATAAAGAAAAACATTTTTCTTCAGATTGGGAAATGTTATTAGCAAATAATCATGGCTTGTACAATTTTAAAAACACAGATAATAATACAATTGTTAGTAGAGATATGTATTCATTAAATACGGAAAATGATATTAGAAATAAATTAAATTTATATGTAGAAAGAATAAATGTTGATAACCCTAACGATGCTTGTAAATATTTAGCTATAGAGGAGTACAAATGTTTATTAACACATTCTTTTCATATGAATCCTACTGCCAGTAATCAAAAATGTGTTAAGTGGTTTAATGAATATATGCAGTGCAAATGGGACGAGCACAAGCTAAATTATGGATATAATTATATTGAAAATAGGAGAAATAAAAAATCAAAGGCTTATATTGCGGCCCCTGATTATCAGTACTCTTAAAATTTTGCTAAGACGTGCACAAGGTTTCCTGATCTGTCTTACAAGGATTTGGAGGCAATACTACATTTATACATTCCTTACGTGTATGTAATTATGTATGTTCGTGTGAATGTATTATTCTTATTTTTTTTTTATTTTATTTATTTATTTTTTTTTTTCTTTTTAAAATGTGCAACTTGTTGAGGAGGGCCCCTTTCTTTCCGATAAGACATTCCCATTGCACACTAATTTCTATCCTCCAAAATTTCTCGAGACACATTCACACAGATCAGATAATTGTAATCCTGTGAGATGTCCATCTAGGTGTATGCATATATGTATGCATGTGTGTGTGAAAACCTTTTATTTTCCCATTTAATAATAAAATTTGGAACAACCAAAAAAAGGAAGACATAATATGAAGAATGTAATGTAATAAACATTGTACAACAATTAATCATGCTTTTTGTATAACATGAAAAATTTGCAGTTTTACTTTTTGGATTTAACACTCAACTCTTTTTTTTTTTTTTTTTTTTTTTTTTTTCCCCGAAAAGGACATCCATTTTAACCATACAAAAACGAGCTCGCAATTTTTGAAACTTTTTCCCCCTGTTTCAAAGATTGCATAAAGTGAACATTAATTTTTTACAACCTTTTACTCTATGTTAAATAAATAACTCGTTTGAGAACTAGTGCGTGTTAACATACACTTGTACATGTGAAATTCAGCTGGATCTACTAATGAGGTCATACAAAGATTTACATTTTCATCGCCACAAGGAATGAAAATATGCGAGGATTAGTAAATAGCTATGGGTCTCTGAACACAAACAGTTTTCACCAAATCTGTGTAACAAATGGAGAGAAAATGACACTATTAGATAATTTCAACTTAAGGTGTAAAATTATATACCCCTTGTGTGAGGTTTTAGCTTAAAGTGGGCAAAGACACAGTCTTTTATCTGCAATGTAAAGAAATGGGGAAAAATAAAATAATAAATTAACACAATCACATGCATATATATATATATATATATGCATGTGTGTGCACACACATTGGCTTTTTTGTTCCATTAAAGGACTAAAAAATTCCTTTCCCTTCACTGAAACATTTGCGTTTATACATTCATAAAGCATGCAAATGTAAATTCCTTCTTCCACAGTATGTTATCTCTACGAAATGTACAAAAGTGTGTGTTTTAATTTTTGCATGTAAATTCCCCATGTTTGTGATTGGGAGAGAGGAAAAGTTTTTAAAACATATTTTTTTACCTTGTGTAAATGATCTTGTACACAATATGGTTTAAGTCCGAGTGGAGAACCTTTTGTTTTTATCTTTCCCAGCATGTGAGTCATATGAATTCATTAATTGTAATGTGTATATATAGATCGTACGAAATGGTTTGAACTCACGCGAAATGTGAGCATTTTAATTTTGTCCGGTCATGAGTGAGAGGTGTGAAAGATTGAAATGGGGGTCACAGACACAACTGTCATATAAATGACAATGGAATTCAAAGGTCGGATAAGATGTGCATGTTACTTAAATCAATTTTTTCTTCTTGTTATTTTTCATCCATATCTCAAAGTGTTCGCATTGTTTCTCAGAACTTTTTCCATTATTTTTTTAATTTTTTTAATTTTTTTAATTTTTTTAATTTTTTTAATTTTTTTAATTTTTTTTTTTTTTTTTTTTTTTTGTAAAAATCATTTCCCAATTTATTTCAACTTTTTTCTCCGCATGTCAATTTAGCAGACTCACTCGAGGCTGTCATATAGGGCGATTAACAACATGTTTTCACATTAATTATTTGAAAATTTGTCCAAATGTATAAAGATTTTCTCATGTTTACTTCATTTTCAAGTTAAACATGTTATATACAGATTTTTTATATGCTTGTCATTTTTTCCTTGTCTATTTTTTTTTTTTTTTCCCGCCTTTTGGACATGCATAAACATGTAACATAACACTGAATGGTCATGCAGCGTTTTTCTTTTATTTCATCTTCAATATTCAATTTCACCAAATACTTAAAGTAAAACTTTTTTTTTTGAATTTACTTTACAATTAGCATGTTTGATCTGGTAATGTAACGTTTTGCCCATTTTATCTACTGGTACATGTGAAAATTATATTGTTATATATATATATATATATATATACATACTCATCTTGTTTCGTTTTTTTTTTTTTTTTTTCGTTGTGGAAATTATTACCTTTCATTCATATACATTTTTGTTGAAATACTTTAAGAACATTTACTTTTTGATGAAAAAAAAAGAGAAAACTTTGATTCATCTAACATCTTGTGGCATTCTATTCCCCATTTGGAAAGACACATGAAGAGAAGGAATATACAAAAGCAAGAGAAGAAACACAAAAATAGTGCATGTCTTTAGAGCCAAGTGCAGATATAAACCGAAAGGGGAGTAGGGGGAAAGATTTATGTCGAATCTTGATAACCTCAACTTCATCTACACAGACAAAGACAGACAGGTGTAGAAAAGAAAGAGATAGTTGGGTTCATAATATCCCAAGTGATGAAAGGATGTATATACACATTTCCTCTCCTCATTAAGTATTGCAATGTGAGAAATGGAAAGTAATTTTAAACATTGTACAAAAGAGCGAATTTATAAATATATATATATATAGTGGGACAGAATGGATAATAATGCTAAAGAAATGAATTCCATAATAGATAAGAACAGAACCGAAAATGTAAATAAATATATTTATTCTAAATTTCCTACTTTTGATACTCATAAAAAAATAAAACATTATAATAACAAAATATCGGAACTGATATTAGAAAATGATAAATTAAAAAAATATAAAAAGAATTTAGAAAAGAGAATAATAGAAGAGAATAAAACTTTTGATGTAAATTTTAATAAATATGAACTAGCCATATCAAATGCATTACGTCTTGGTAGTGCATGTATATATCTATGTATTACATTAAACAAAATTATAAGCAAAAATAAAATATTAGTTTTGAGAGAATTACTTAGAAAGAGAGATGAATATAAAAATAGTTTAATTAAGTCATACATTGGTAAAAACACCTTTAACAAAATGTTTATAAATAGTATGATTAAGAAAATAGAAAGTGTGTATGAAAAAAACAAACATTTTGTAACAATCATATTGGTTATATTGATAAAAAGTAAGTTAAGATATTCTCTTAAATCATTCATTAGAAATGTTCTAGATATACCTAGTAGATATAAAAATATGTCTTCCAATTTGGAGTTCAAAAGATACTGTTCCAATCAATTGGGTTCTACCTCTATGAAGCTTAATACGAAGGATAGAATAAAATACACATTTGGATTCATAAAACTAATAGATGTTTTAAAAAATAGAATTTATGCAACTGTTCGAATTAGCTTTCTTTACTTAAAGTATATCAATAATGACACGTATAACATATATGGATGGGGTGTTAATAGATCCACTAATAACAACCCTTCCTCCAAAAAAGAAAATATGCAGCTAGTACAAAATGATTCAGAAATGGAAGTAAATATGAAGGAAAAACTGAATGGATATAGATTTGAAGGAATCACAGGGAATCATGTGAATGAGACAGGAACCAGATGTACAAAGAAATATAATTGTAAGGATACTAGATATAATGAAGAAGAGGAAGGGGAATTGGAAAAGGATATTAACTTTAAAGAGTACGATAGTAATTTTAAACTATTGAAGCAGAATGATATGGTAGGGGACAAGCAAAAAATAATACAATCTAATGTACACACGCAAGATGAATATATTAACTTAGAAAATGATGGCTCAAGCCTTAGTAGCTATTTACCACGACCAAGAGATGTCTATAATTATCTGTACTACCAGGAATTACTAAAAATAAAGGAAAAATTTCCTGAAAAATTTTTACATAGTCGAAATGATGATTTTAAAAATTATGCAAATTATGCAAATAACATGGAATCAAGTGGAGAAATATGCTATCTACGCAAAAATGATAAAGAAAGAAATGCATCCATAAGAAACCTTCTCAGTTACAAATTGGATTATGGTGAAGGGAATACTACTTCTGAGGGGAATGATCAGATGAGAGGAAATAATTTAATTCCTATTAATAAGTACACTTGGAAAAGAGGAAATAAAATTGATTGCCGTTTCACTGAAGAATTTTCAAATGCAGCTAATGACCTGAACTTTAGTATTTACAAAGGGGGGTTATCTGATGGAAAATTTGATCACGTTTTGTTATCACATGAAGAGGTTGGTAGGGATGTGAAAATTGCAAAAACGATTGAAGAGCTTTTTGAGAAAAAAAAAAAATTACGCCTTAATTTAAAAAATGATCTGACATGCAAATATTCAGAAAATAAGCACAATTATGGATCTAACATGGAAAAGTTAAACATTGTTAACGGGTCAAGTGCTTATAATTCAAATTCCCAGTTAATAAAGGATGTAAAAGACTGTTCCACGTCTTTTAATGCATTCATGTGTGAAGATAATTTAAGAGAAAAGAAGAATAATCCATTTTATCGAAATCAAAATGTGGAAGAAGCACGAGAAGAAATTCAATATTATCAAGAGGGAGACTGTGAAAAACTACAAGACGATTTATATGAAATTGAAAATTACACAGGAAGTGAAAATATCAAAACAATGTTATCCTTGAGTAATATTAAAAATGAATTTAAGACTATGTTTTCCCAATTTAATGAGCCTAATATGGAGAAATATAATGAGTCCATACATGTGGAGAACCAAAATATGTGTGATCAAAAAATTGAACAAATAAAACATGGGTTAAGTAGAATCACTCACAAAAATTTTTTATGCCTAGTTGGTCAAGGCCCACCAGATGATCTGGGCGTTTATTCCAAAGACAAGCATAGTTTTGGTGAGGATGATCGTGTTATGAGTATGATGGATGTGAAAAACACGTGGGGAAATAAAGAAAGTCCTAAAATAATATGTACTATTCGGAAGTGAAAAAAAAAAAAAAAAAAAAAGGATGAGGGTAAGCTCGCATAGCACCTGTAACAAGCTAAGAGTGGGATATGATATGCCATATGTTGAGGAGTTTGTTAAGTTTTTTTTTTTTTTTTTTAACGTTCGCATTTGTTATATTTCTATACATTCGTGCTTGTTACATTTCTTTACTTTCATTTTTGTCATAATATGTTTATGATTTTTTAAACACACCGCATAGGAAAATAAGCAAGGGGATGCGTGGGTAAGCGGCTAGGCTAGATTTAATCGGCTTATTATAGAATGTTAAGGGATACCCACTGGATTGATATATCAGGGTTTGGGTTTTTTTTTTTTTTTTTTTTTTTTTTTTTTTTTTTTTTTTTTTTTTTTTTTTTTTTTTTTTTTTTTTTTCACGTGATTTTGTAGCTAGTTAATGTATGTACACGTACACCTCGTGCGTGTGTGAATAAGAATACCTTCCTTGATATATATACATGTGTATGTTTACGTGTGTATATGTTTACGTGTGTGTATGTTTATGTATGTGCGCGTAAGAACTGCTTTGCTTTTTCATGGTTACGCAAGCCTGCACTTTTTTTTGCGAAAAGTAGACGATAAGGGTTACTTGTTGCCCACTTTGACAACATCCCTGGATTGTGCTTGCACTTTTTTTGCATTTCTGCATTTTTCTTTGCAATTTTTTGACACTCATAAATATACCCATTTTATGGGACACTGTTAGAATTTTTTTTTTTTTTTTTTTTTTTTTATTTAACTATTTAAAACATCCGTGAAGCAGTGATATACCAACGATAAATGTTGGTTTGCAGAACACAATCCCTAGGAGGAGCAGCATTTTAAACTTTTCCACTCTCCCTTTATCGTGAATTTCACAAAAACGTGCGTCAATTTTTTACTTCCTTCCATTGAGCCAGGAAGGGCAAAAGTAAACTACATTTCATGGATAAAAAAAAAAAAAAAAGAAAAAAATATTTTCCATCCTGTAGGTGTGAAGAAGTTTAATAAAAAAGGGGGAAGAATCGAAAATGAGATACGCAAAAAATAAATTAAATGAACGAAATATATTAAAAGAGTTAATTAAATTAAATAAGGTAAAACAAATCTAATAAGGGTTAGTTAATGTGTTAAAAAAAAAATATAAGAGAACCAAGTCTTGATAAAGCACGAAGAAACGATTCGAAACAAAACATTGTAAGGGGCCATCAGAGTTGATTTTTTTCTTCCTTTTTTTTTTTTTTATAAAGAAGGGAGAGGTAAATTAGTCTAATGGAATTAGCATCCCTTTACAGCTTTCTTTCTATGGAAACGTAATGTTCCTCCTATCAGTAGTGCGTTCGGTTTATATCATTTCAGAAATAGTTAACCTGTGCAGGTGTTTTTTATTTTTCCAGAGAAGGGAATTAAGGGAGATATTGAGACAAGGTACAAATACTAGTGAAAGGAAAAAGGAAATGTTAAGCTTGTTTCTTAAGGAAAGCATAAAATTGCGTGATAGTATAAGGTGTGTAAATAACTTGTCAAGGTATAAATATGGGAAGAGTATAAGTAGCACTGCATCGAATAATGTAAGAACAAGAATTATGAGTAGTAGTGTATTTAATTCATTCGGAAGCAGCAGAGAAAGCAAAGAAATAGAACATATTGTAGATGGTATATCATTCACAATTCACAATAATACAAATATATACAAGGATGAGACAAGTAATATACCCATTGTACTAATTCATGGGTGTTATGGAAGTAAAAAGAATTTTCGCTTTTTTAATAAATATTTAAAAAGTAATAAAATCATAACAATTGATTTAAGAAATCATGGGAATTCAATACATACTGATACTATGAAATATGAAGAAATGGAAAATGATATAAAAAACGTTTTAGAAAAACTTCAAATTAAAAAATGTTGTTTAGTTGGTTTTAGTTTAGGAGGAAAAGTGTCCATGTACTGTGCTTTAAAAAATTCATCTCTTTTTTCTCATTTAATCGTTATGGATATTTTACCATTTGATTACAACACTAAGAGCACTCATGTTAAACTTCCCTACAATATTAGTTACATGACTGAAATTCTTTTTAATATTAAAACAAAGATGAAACCAAGAACTAAGGCACAATTTTTGGATCAACTGAGGGAGAAAATTCCAAACATTTCTAACTCTTTCGCACAATTTATTTGTATGTCTCTTGTGGAGGTCACGGAAGAAGTTAGAAAGGAAACAAATTTTCTTGAAGATCCAAACATGGAACCTTTAAAGAAGAATTCCTCTAATGATAATCAACCAATCGAAAATAAGAAGCTTTTATGGAAAATTAATGTGGACACCATATATAAAGAATTACCTCATATTCTTAGTTTTCCTCTGAACTGTGATAAATATAAGTACACTAACCCCTGCAATTTTATTATTGGACAAAAATCTGATCTAGTTTATACCATACCGGACTATGAATCCATTATAAAAAATTTTTTCCCTACTTGCCACAATTTTGTTTTGCCAAACGCATCACACACTGTTTACATTGATAATGTGAAGGAGTGTGCTGGCATTGTTAATAATATGTTGCGTTTGTGAATCAGATACTTTTACTTTACGTTACTTTATCTTAGTTTATTTTATAGTGTTCTTCATTTAAGTTTATTTTAGTGTTCTTCATTTAAGTTTATTTTAGTGTTCTTCATTTAAGTTTATTTTAGTGTTCTTCATTTAATTTATTTTAGTGTTCTTCATTTAATTTATTTTAGTGTTCTTCATTTAAGTTTATTTTAGTGTGCTTCATTTTAGTTTATTATTTTTAATTATTATTATTTTATTTTTTTTTTTCTATTCATTCGTTCTTGCTCAGTATATGTGTGTTGCAAGGATGGGAAGACTGCATTCAAATTCGTTAGATGTATATATGCCACATGGTTGGGAAGTGTGTCTGTATGTGTGAATTGGTAGATGACACGCATTTGTCAATAACCATCATTGGTGAGAATAAGAAATTCTTATTCTTTTTATCTTCTGATCACCAACTTTTTTAGGTAATGTTTTTTTTTTTTTTTTTTTTTTTTTTTTCTCTTCCAAGTTTACACATGCATTAAAATTATAGAACCGTTCATATTCGTGTATATATTGGAGTATAATTTACGACATCTTTATCGTCAGAAAATTACATTCGAGAGAGAAAAAATACATTAGGGGATTAATCACATGTGTATATGTTTTGGGAAAAGAGGGGTTTTCCTTTTCATGTTTTTCCAAAAGACATACACCTCCGTAGCTTACATGCATACGTGAATTAATTTTATGGATGTCATGGTTTTCCTCCAATAATTTGAATACACAATGTGTGTTAAATTTTGCGAACCTCCGTTTTTACGAGGTATCTTTGATTTTAAGTTTTTTTACAATTAAAAAAAAAAAAAAAAAAAAAAAAAAAAAAAAAAAAAGCATAAATAGGAAGTAAATATGGGAACGCACAAAAGTGCAAGCATGAAAATGTGCAAGTATGAAAACATAAAAGGAGCAATTGGGAGTGGTGGTGATGACATATGCTTACTCGGGAAAATAGAAAACGAGAAGAAAAGCAGAGTGTGAAATGAAAAAATTGAGGAGGCATATGCCCAACAACAAACATATGTACATATATCTGGGGAGGTATGTATATATATGTACACAAAAACAATGTAATTTTAAGCACTTAGTGGTGAGAGTGGAGAGAACACAAAGGGGAGGAGACATTCATAAAATCGGACAACTTTTATATTATTATTTACGTTATCAATGATTACATGTGCAAACATGTGATTGGCTAGTTCGCGAAAAGAAGTGAACAATAGCTTCATATGCTTGTGAACAAAATGTAACTATAACTTTTTAATGGATTTAAGAGCTTGCGAGTTTTTTCCCGCCTAAAATAAAAATAAAATATACGTACATATGTATGTGTATACACATATATATATATATATATATATATATATATATATGTGTGTATGCGTTAAAATTCATCCCTTCTGTTTTTATACCTTTGCACTATGCTAAGAGAGTGTCGTTCCACCGTAGGTTACACTTGTCGGCATGTCTATTTGGAAACATGTTAACTAGTGAGGATCATATTCTCACAGGGGGAAAAGAAGCGTTTAAGATAATCTCTTAGGTATGTTGCTGTGGGGACTTCAGACTGTTACCCTTGATGTGTACAGTTCAGTAATGTTGTAGAAAAATAAATAACATAAATATATATTGTGTTTGCAGTGGTTCATCAAAGTATGGTTTTATACATGGAGAATCGTTTCTAACTTGTTTTTTTTTATTTTCCTTTAAGGATATTTCTGCTTGTCATAGGGTTCATATCATGAAGGTCTGTGAGTATCCATATAAATGTGTGTTGTTACTAGATATCCATTGGTTCATGTGAACATTTACCTTATTCGTGATATATATATACATTCTCATTCTATGCAATGTCATACAGATATCTTCAATAGTGTTACCACGACATAAGCCATATTTTTGTCTTCAACAGCGTTACCACGACATAAGCCATATTTTTTTTTTTTTTTTTTTTTCTTTTTTTTTTCCTACACATTCCCAAGTGATAATTTATTATGTTCGCTTACAATTGAACTATTAAAAGTCATAGTGAGATCAACATTGTCTATAGCATTGCCTATAGCATTTCCAACAATGTTATCTATAGTTTTCTCTACAGCATTGTATGCCACTTTCTGCACAACAGTGTCTTCAGCTTTCTCCGTAACATTGTCTGCAGCATTATCTTTGTTTTTGCGAGAATTTTTACCAAAGATGGTTTGCCCTTTAACCTTGGAGAGTCTAACCTTGATAGCCCAGAATTTGGATCTATAGAATCCATGTGTTTTGGCAGAAAAAGATTTGTAATAACGTTTTCCATTATCATACCATGATGCAATCCAGCTCCTCTTGTCCCAATAAACCCCTGCGACATCACACTTAAGATCATCTGGATTTTCTAAACTAGGTCCTTCTTTATCTGATAATTCTAAGAGATATTCAAATTCACTTTCGCTTTTTATAATTTTATTATTATTTCTATTGAGATTTCCACATTTTTTTATTGCTTTTTTTTCTGTACTACTTTTATTATTATTTGCTGAATTTCTTTTTCCTCCTTTTTTTTTCTTTCCATTGTTTACATCCACATCATTCTGGATCAAAAAGTTCATGTTATGGTGGTCATCCATTATGTATGATGTTAATCTTCCGTTTTCATTTGCATAATTCATTAAAGCGTTTCCTGTTCCTGCTTGTGACATATTGTTTGTGGCTTCATGGACGATGTTACTAAATGGATGATCTCTGAGATTGTTATGATTGCTACTGCTTCCTTTGCTGCTGCATCCTTTACTCCTACATCTTTTGCTTCTGCATCCTTTGCTGCTACTCTCTTTGCTGCTGCATCCTTTGCTACTACTTCCTTTGCTGCTGCTGTTGCTGCTTCCGATGTTGTTGCTTCTACTGGAGGTAGGGGGATTCGTATAAATAGGGATGCGTGCATATAGTTCTCCCTTGAATTGATCTGTGTTCCATGTATTCTTAACATACATGTTGTTATCACATACTTCTGCATGGTTCCTACTGTACATATTTAACAATTCTAAGGTATCCTTTGATAATTCATTGGGGAAAGGTGTGAGATCCGATTTTTTCAATGTTTTTTTTTCATTTTCATAATGGATAACCTTATCATCCAAGGAGTGATAATTTCCATGATTGTATATATTTCTGTTAAGTGTATACTCAAGTTGAACTTTTCTATTTGTTGCGTCATTTTCTCCTTTGATCTGAACCCTATTAAGTGGATGATCATCTGAAGTTGGGTTCGTGTTTGGATTGGAGAGATCTTTAACATAATTAACATTATTATTTATGTTTTTCATACTGTACATATGTTCCATATCTTTACAATGACTCTTGTTATATAGAGAAATATTATTTTCATAATTTTCTGCTATAAAATTATTCTGTTTTTTCATTGTTCTTTCATTGTGGTTATTTAAGTTGGAAATTACACATCTACAATTGCTATTCGCACTACTATCACTACTACTTAAATCATTAAACATGTTGGGAATAATATTTGCATTTCCAGTTGGTACATTATCTACTTGGTTATTTCTGCATAACATTTTTAAACTATTATTATTTTGAAATTTAGATTTTAATTCGTAAACAGTTGGTTTTCCATTATTTTCCCATAAATTCATTGAGTGTGGATAATCTGCATTTAACTTACAACACAAATCATCCAATTTTACACACACTGTATATATTGTGTCGAACCATTGAATATATTTATCATCAGTTAGATCTGTGTTGTTGTAGTTGATGCCTGAATCATTTAACGCATTTTGATCCATAGGATTATTGGTTATTTCGTTATATGCACTATTTAGGTCACTTTGGCACTTCATATCTTCATTATTTACAAAGTTAATTAAACTATGTTGATCGGAGAAGCCAATAACACTTTGTGCATTCATTTCTGTTGTAAAGCTCTGATTGTTCATCTCGCACCTTAATTTTCCATTGTACATGCGCTGACTATGTAAATCTTCTGATGTTTTTTCTTCACCTACGCTGTGAATACTGTTCATGTTGTTCATGCTTTTCATTCTGTTCATGCTGTTCATGCTGTTCACGCTGTTCACGCTGTTCATGCTGTTCACACTGTTCATGCTGTTTACACTGTTCATGCTGTTCATGCTGTTCATATCTTTCACACTGTTCATATCTTTCACACTGTTCATATCTTTCACACTGTTCACATCTTTCACACTGTTCACATCTTTCACACTGTTCACATCTTTCACACTGTTCACATCTTTCACACTGTTCACATCTTTCACACTGTTCATGCAGTTCATGTCGTTGATGTTGTTGATGTTTTCTGTATTGTTCATACTGTTCATGCAATTTGTGCCACTTATACCACCTACACGGCCCATACCTCCTATACAGCTCATATCGCTCGTACCACTTACGACGCTTATCCTGGTTGTGCCATAACTTCCATTAAGGGTATCTGGTGCATCTATATCATTCTTGTCAATAAACTGTGTAACTCTATCATTCTCATTCAGCTTGTCTGGTAAAATTTCCTCGTTCATAATCCTCATGTTTTCATTGTGTATGGAGCTATTCGTGTTTTTCTCAAGATTTGTATTTTCCATCATTCGTTCTCCATTAAAATGGGAACCATTTTGCTTATGCAATACACTTATAGCAGTTTCTTGCTTAATTCTGTTAAAAATTATTTCTTGATTTCTTTCATTTGGTACATGGTTGTCTTCCATTATGTCATTAGGGTTCATTTCTTGACTAGCTTTTCTCAACATTATTTCACTGCTTAAAAATTCTATATTATCATTATGATATTCTGGTACGGTAGTGTCGTCTTCACTTACACTATTTCTAATTATTTGCTTGGTAAGAGATTCCATTTGATGTTCTTTATGGGAAATATTTTCTGTTCGATTTTGTTCATTTAGATAATTCATCAACTGTTCATTGTTAATGTAACTAGATGTGTTTTGACTTCCCCGACTATTTAAGCTGTTTAGGTTGTTTATGTTGCTGCTACGGTTATTTAAACCATTCATTCTGTTCATGCTGTTTTCATTATGGATGTTCTGAGGTGCATTTTTCATACCAATCCCATTGTGACATCCTATATTATTTTTTCTCATCATGTCAGACTTCATAGTTCCATTAGCATCAAAAGGAAGATGCCCCTTTGCCTCATTCCCTTGATAAGGCGAAGTTAATACTCGTGCTTCCAATTTATCTCCCATTGGAGTAGATTTCTTAATATTTTCTGAAGATTTGTTCTTGAGTGAGTTATTATTCCCAGAGTGTTCGACACCACTATGATGGTTAGTTGGAAAGGTATTTGTTCGCTTGTCGACAGAGATAATTGGGTTCTGATTCGTAAGTGATGCTTTGTCAAAGTTTATATTGTTTATGGTTGTGTTAACGGGGACGGAAATGCTTTGTTCAAGCGAATTTCCACTTTGCAGCGTCAGTGTATTTTGTGGTGGCAGTGTATTTTGTGGTGACAGTGTATTTTGTGGTGGCAGTGTATTTTGTGGTAGCAATGTATTTCGTGGTGGCAGTGTATTTTGTGGTAGCAATGTATTTAGTGCTTTGGATTCGATTTGTATTCTTTGCGTTCCCTTTTGATTTTTCGTGTTTTTCTTGTTTGGTGTGTTTTTTCCCCAATTATCGTTTTTTTCGTTTTTTTCGTTTTTTTCGTTTTTTTCGTATTTTTCGTTTTTTTCATAATTTTCATATTTTTCGTTTTTTTCGTATATTTCGCCTTTTTCGTATATTTCGCCTTTTTCGTATATTTCGCCTTTTTCGTATATTTCGATTTTTTCGTTTTTGATATTTTCTGGATTTTCCACGTTTTTTACAATATGTTCGTTTTCTGCAATTTTTACAGTATTTTCATTTTCCACATTTTTAACAATATTTTCGCTATCTAGATGTTCCAAATTTTTTATATATTTTTCTTTTTCTACCTCGTTTTGCGTTTTAAGTTCTGCATCGGGAAGATCAAAAGGAGTACACGAAAAATTGCCGAAATGTGTGCACTCATCATAATTTTTTTTTGATAAATTAATTTGGCGTTCTATATGTACTTCTTCAGGAATGGCTGTTATTTTGCAGTACACTGTGGTAGTAATGCTTGCGTCTTTCAAGGGCAATTGATCCTTGAGCTCGTGGTTTCTTTCATCTTCTAATGTGTTAAAAGTAGTACAGGCATTGGATGAGACATGTTCAGTAATAGGATCCTTTTGCATGCATTCAGTAGATATGTCTTTTTTTTCATGTATTTCTACATGGTGCATATTCCTCGTTTCATTTACTATTACAGCTTCATTTGACTTAACGGATGTACTTATTTTCAGTTTCGGAGTACTGATATTGGGGGTGCAGGAATTTGGGGTACAGGAATTTGGGGTATAGGAATTTGGGGTACAAAAATTTGGGGTACAGTTCTTGGGGGTACCGGGATTGTGGGTACAGTTCTTGGGGGTACCGCTATTGAGGGTGCAGTTTTGGGGGATACCAGGATTGAGTGTACTAAATTGCGGGATATTGGATATCGGTGCACTGTGCAAAGATCTAGCATTATTGCGCGCCTGAATTTCGATATCATTGTAGTTTTCGTCGACCTTATCCTCACACAATAAAATATTATTAACGGGGGAAATAAAATTTATTTTTTTTTTCGCGCTAATTAAATGGATATCATCTTCAATCTCTGTGATATCTCTTTTTTTTTTAAATGTATTTGGAATCATATCATGCTCAAATATTTGGTTATTCACTTGGATTCCGTTCATATGTTCTTCTTTATTTCTTACGAGATTGACATTGCTTCTACTAGTATCGGTACCTGCGTTTGCACAATTTATTACGCGTTCAGAATAGACATCTCCTTCTAGTGTGATTGATTTCTGAAGCATGCTATCATTTTCATTTTTCACATTTTGTGCATCTGTAGAGTCATTTACCATTTTTACGTGCATATCATTCTGGTTATCATTCGAACTAGATTTTATTTCCTTGACGAATGCACATGTTTGTTTTGAATCATTATTGTATGCATCTTTCTGTGCGTGTTCATGCTCTTTCGCGAGATTTGTTGGTGCATTTTGCTTTTCGTGTGGCGGAGAAAAATTCGTATCATCATAATTGTCATCATAATTGTCATCATAATTGTCATCATAACTGTCATTGTAATTTTCATTGTAATTTTCATTGTAATTGTCATTGTAATTTTCATTGTAATTTTCATTGTAATTGTCATTGTAATTTTCATTGTAATTTTCATTGTAATTTTCATTGTAATTTTCATTGTAATTATTATCGCAATCATTATTATAATTATCTACCTCATCATTAAACTCATTATGAATCCCATTATCTACCTCATTATGAATCCCATTATCTACCTCATTATGAACCCCATTATCTACCCCATTATCTATCCCATTATCTACCTCATTATGAACCCCATTATCTACCCCATTATCTATCCCATTATCTACCTCATTATGAACCCCATTATCTACCCCATTATTATCCTCATTATGAACCCCATTATCTACCTCATTATCATCGTTATATCTACGTGGGTTTTTCTCACTGTGAATATTTTCTGAAAATGATTCATTTATGATAAATTCATTTCGCACATTTTGTAATTCTTTAAAAATTGTGCTCTCATTTACATATTCCAAATTGTTTCTTTGTGAATTGTCATTACATTCCTCTATATGCAGCATATTAACACTCTTGGCTTTGTTACACCCTTCATTGGGATGCAGTTTAGAATATCTATCATTCTGTTCACTTTCAACGGATAAATGTCTAATTATTAGATTCTTCCATTCCTTCCCATTTTTGTCATTACTCAAGTAATTCTTATTTCCTTCATCGATCAAGTGCCCTCCCTTTGGAAATGAGGATTTTTCTGTCTCATTTTCGCTATAAATATGGAGATCATTTGTCTGTTCATTTTTTATGTCATTTTTACTTGAACTCTTTTGGATTTCTATCGTGCTTTCATTCAGCTCAATATCATGCATGGAATATACCCCTTCCTTCAAAGATGAATGAACTAAAATATTGGTGCTAAAATCGTTCTCCTCATGATCTATGTTGTTATTCATATTCTCCATCGCATTCATTTGTTCATATAAAAATATTTTTTCCTCGAAACTGCCATTAGAATGGTCAGATTCATTTGAAGGTTCTTCTTGGTTAGTTGACATATCTCGAATAATCATTAATTTTTGATTAGTGCATTCCTCGTGATTGACTTTCTGACATCGCGCTTCCAACTGTTGCAGTACCTCCGAGCTGCGTTTTTTTATGAAATCTGGGTTTGACATATGATTGCTAGTATCCTTAACTCTCTCATCCTCTATATTTTTCGCCAAATTAGGTAAATTGCTCATTTTATTTTCTGATTTTATGTATGATTAATGAGTCCTTTTTTGTAATTTAACACACTATAAATCTTTTGTTGTTCCATTCATGAGATTTATTCTGAGAAGACTATTATAAACAGGATAATTTTTTGCTCTACTTATGAATTAGTGGTTGAAAAAATATATGTATTACATTTATATGTTTATTTGATATGTTCACGTTGATGCTAGATTTTTTCCTCGTTGGTTTGTTCTATTTTTATTTATTTATTTATTTTTTTTTTTTGTATGAATAAACTTTACGCTCTCTTTGTCCCTGAGAAAACATGCATTTTGCACACTCAATGGATTTTGAGAATGTAATTCGGGATTTACAATTGTTGGTTCTGCGCAGGTGTAACACTTACGAATTTACATATGTGAATTATCAAGTTGATCATAAAAAGAATCAAAAAGGGTAAATTTGTAGAATGAACGGGGGGTGGAGGGAGAGAAAGAAAAAAAAAAAAAAAAATAAAATAAATAAAAAAATAAAACAAAAAAGAAAAGAAAAAAAAAAAAGTTGTTGTTGCAAAGTAGAGAGTGCACCAAATAGTAGTGCGACAAACGCAAGTGCCAAAAAATAAAATTTCTTCTACTAAAATAAAATTAGTTTAATACACACATGTAAATTTACATATTATACTAACCCTTCTTGTAACGACATTTTGTCATTACCCTTTTATCACAGTTTAGAAGTTAATTTGCTGAAAGGTGTGAGGCATCTATATCACACATTTCAGGTTCTGAAGTCATGAAGGAAAGAAGATGAGATCCAGTTAGAAGTGAGAGAGCATAGTGTTATGCACACCCACACATACAAATATATGTTGTTGTGAAATTAGAAGATGTATTTACAAAAAAAAAAATTGACATATACAAAGTGTGTATAGAAGTGAATATGTATAAGCTTGCGCATGTACAAACAAAACATACGACCAACACATATGACCAAAACATACAAAAAAAAAAAAAAAAATACATACAAAACATACACACAAAACATACACAAAATACATGCACAAAATACATGCACAAAATATATGCACAAAATACATGCACAAAATACATATACACAAAAAACACGTACAAATGCAGATACACGTTAAAAGGCTTAATTAAAATTTTGTCCCACAACTTCTTTTCTTTTAAGATGTGTGAAAATACAACAACTTAATTAATTCGTTTTTTTTTTTTTTTTTTTTTTTTTTTTTTTTTTTTTTTCAAATGAACAAACATAATGTTTTTTTTAGTTAAATTAATTAAATTCGACATATAAAAAAAAAAAAAAAAAAAAAAAAAAGCAAAAAAAAGGGCAAATAAAGGCCAAAAAAAAGGCCAAGAAAAAGGCAAAAAAAAAAAAAATGCAACAAGCTCTACTAATCTACATATTCACACTTGCGTATTTTTTTGTTCAAATAAAAATTGGTTGATTTTTCTTGTGAAAATTTTGAAGATCATGTATATAAAAAAAAAAAAGAAAAGAAAAAAGAAAAAAGAAAAAAGAAGAGATGGAATAAAAGTGAAAAAAGAAAAGTTTTATTATAATTATTTACTAATTTGACTAGGTTTTTAAGTTGCAGCATTCATATGGTATGTTTTATATACACGCGTGCTCTCGGGGGTAGGAAGTATAAATGTATGAATAAATGTGTATACATATATATATGTGCACATATATAGAAGATTGCGTTTGTGCATGTACACGTGCTTACATATAGATAAGATATATTTTTAAAAAAATAGAGTATGTGAAATTCATGGGATAATTGAAATTTTTACAAATGGAAAATAAGTACAAGACGATATTAGCAAAATAAAGAAAACAGCGAAAAACAACGGCCAGCAGCGAAGATCAGAGAAGATCAAGGAAGCATGTCGGCAAGAAAAAACAGCAATGTGCAACAGCAAAGAACAAAGCTAACAATAACGAATAAGTAACAAGCTCCTGAATTAACGAATTTATTATTTATTTCAAGGGGGGGATTGTATCTCTGCATATGTTTCAGAAATAAAATGAGAGATTCGAATTAAAAGGAATTACAGAAAAGGGTGCGTAAGGTGGATTTACACAAACTTACACTCTAACATGCGTGTGTGTAGGTGTGTGTGCACATGAACAGGAACAAGAAAAAGGGAAGGAGACAAAAATAGTGACGCGAAAATAGGGACAAAAAAATAATAACACAAAAATAAGAGCAAAAAAATAATAACACAAAAATAAGAGCAATAAAATAATAACGCAAAAATAAGAGCAAAAAAATAATAACGCAAAAATAAGAGCAATAAAATAATAACGCAAAAATAAGAGCAATAAAATAATAACGCAAAAATAAGAGCAATAAAATAATAACGCGAAATTAAGGATAATAAAATAAACACACATTCATAAACAGGAGTGTATGAAATACACGACACTTGTGATTAGCCGAAAATAACAAATCCCAAGGAAGGTGGCAAAATGGAGGAAATAATATCATCGCCTTTTTATTGCTTAAGTGTTACATCCAATTTTTTTTTTTTTTTTTTTTTTTTTTTTTTTATCCCATTTTATTAACACATGAAACAAAAAAAAAAAAAAAAAAAAAAAAAAAAAATTGAATAGATTTAACAAATCGAGCGAGTTGTGAAAAAATCTTAAAAAATTTGATAATAAGGATAATTAAAATATCCGCACAATAAATTCATTAATTTTATAAAATTTATGGAGATTCGAACGTAAGAATAAATTCAAGGAATCTTTTTTCTTTCTTTTTCATTTTCCACATAACGTTCTAGGATTCCATAACAAAAAATACTGTTTTGTGAGGAAAAAAAGAAAAAAAAAAAAAAAAAAAAAACAGGTTTTGTAGAGAGCATAAAGGGAATAGTAGGTGTATTGGGTGTAGAGGCAAATGGAAGAAAAAATGGCAGCAAGAATTAAAAAAAGAGTGCAGGTTGAAATTAAGGCGTCACTTATTCCACACCCATTCGGTCACGTGTTGCAATTCCCATATGTGGGATAGTGAGAACCGGGAATTACTCAAAATGTGAAACACAAATTGCTAATATAAGGTTACAGATCATGAATTACACATGAAAAATTGTTCGCATTCTGCGGAAGAAAGAATTTTACAGGAGGCAATTAATAAATATGGTATTAAAAAATGAAAATATTTGTCGCAAGGGTGGATAAAAGATGATATGGAAACTGTTCAGACGGTTAAAATGGGATTATTGTCGTATGGTGTAATTTTTTTCCCGTGATTAATTCCACGGCCTTTTCGGGGTTTATGTGCCTAACCCATCTTTTTATTTTACACAACTTAAGCACCTACGCATTATGTTTGCCAAAAAAAAAGGAGAAAAAAAAAAGGAGAAAAAAATAAGAGAAAAAAATTAGAGAAAAAAATTAGAAAAAAAAATTAGAGAAAAAAATTAGAGAAAAAAATTAGAGAAAATAATAAGAGGAAAAAATAAGAAGAAAAAATAAGAAGAAAAAAAAAAAACAGAAAACACCATAAAAAACGCCATAAAAAACACCAAAAAAAGGACAAAAGGATAACTAGGAAATGAGAAAACGTAGAAAATTAAATTTGGTCAATTTGGTAAAGGCGTAAAATGGCAGAACAGGAGGATAAACCACCCATGAAAGGAGACATTTGAAAAAGGATCCTTTTAAATATATCAAAACTTTTTAATTCATTTTTTCCTTAACATGATATTACAACTGCCCTGAACAATGCATAATTTTTTTTTTTTTTTTTTCTTGCTTTTTATAAAAAAAAAAAAAAAAAAAAAAAGGAAAAAATATAATTTAATAAAATAAAATAAACAAATAAGTTGTGCCCATATGTTACCTTTTGAAACATTTTGAAGAAAAAGAAAAATAAGAGACAGCCAGTTGTTACGTATGGTGGTGATTATGGTATGATTAAGTGATATAGAGGGGAATTTTTATTTTCTCCTGTGCAACTGTTTTAAGGTTAGTGTGTTTGTATGTGTACATGGAAAATTGTACTGAAGATGGACAATTTAAAAAAAAAAAAAAAAAAAAACGTTTTTGTCACATTAATTGAAGTTTATACTTGGTTGGAAGTTGTTTTGATTTGTTAATCCAAGCCAACACAAAAACGATTGAACTTTTATATTATTCTTGTTATGTGCAGTTATTACAAAGTATGTGTTGTTTTCGCCTGTCACCCCAATTTCACACATACATACATACACACACACGGATACTTATGCACGTTTTAAAGATACGTAGAGACGAAGCAAAGGTCCTCATTTAATGCATACACGTTAAGTATACTCCTCACTGATAACATTTAATGAGTTAGACCTAACATAAGAAGTTACGATTTGTAAATGTGCACAAAATGACTAAAATAAATTAATTTATGCAAGTAACAAATTAAAGAAATTTAAAAAAAATGAACCACTTATGATCACAAAACTGGTTTTTTAAAAAAAAAAAAATAAAAACAAAAAGAGAGAGAGAAAAGAATTCTAGAAAAATTTCATTTAGGTTTTTCTTATAAAGCTCGTACATGCTAAAATGAAACTAATGTTTTCTTATCGAACTTCTGACACGCGCAGTTTTCCATTTTTACACGATGTCAATATTAGTGCCCCAAGTGTGACTTTGCTGAAACTGTATAAGTCGCAAATTCAGCTCCTCTTTGTATTAGTTTGGATACTTGTGTTACTATACTATGTTCTACTTTATTCTGTGTGTAAGTGTTTTTTTTTTTTTTTTTTCTTTTTTTTTGAATTTCACTATGTTTATATAAATGTGGTTCACTTATATGATGGCCATATGGCTGCGCGAGGGTTATAAATTACACGGTACAAAAAAAAAAAAAAAAAAATTACGCAGACACATGAAATAATGTTGTTGTCATTCGTTTTTAATTCAATCCCTGGTAAGACAAAACAATTTCGTTCAAATTCTCATGCCAGAAAATTCTCATATGATGTTTACTGTAGCATGTGGTATATTATTTTCTTACTGACACAAATGTACATAATGTCAAGGCGGCGTAATAATAAACTGTAAATGCTACGAATCATTTGGGAAATGTCAGTGTTGTTAAAAGGGTGTACAAATCAACAACTACGTGTGTGCAAATATAAAAACATAGTTCAATCTGCTGATTAATGAAAAGCAAAAGAATTAGTTACTTGACTGATGCGGGGGGAAAAAAAAAAAAAAAAAAAAAAAAAAAAAAATACATGTGTGATTACAATTTCTTGATTAAAATACAGTCATTTGAATTACTCATGGGTTGATTGACTTTAATTAATCTTACCTTATGTGCGTGTACACATGTATTTACATATATTGGTGTGCATGTGTGTATGCAATGGTTGATGGATAATTGTATATTACTTTACCTTCGATTTTTTTGGACAGCAAAAAAAAAAAAAAAAAAAAAAAAAAAAAGAAAAAGAAATTTTATCCACATTTCAAATGTATACACAAATATGTGCACACACATATGCAATGTATCGTATGTATATTTATGTATCTTGGTAAAGATGAAACTGAATTTACTCATCCAGAAAAATGAAAGCTCAAGAGAAAAAACATTAATCAGTTTGAAAAGCATTAAACAATTATTTACTTAATTCTCCATTCAATTGAGGGACTTATATGGGCTACGTTTTTATGAAGAGATATTCCCCTTTTTTTTTTTTTTTCAGTTTCAAATTGAACTTTATATGTAACACCTAATTTCGTACTGTTAAATAAACCAACCAATAAAGCGGGCTTGGGAAGGAATACTATGTATATGTAGGTATATACATATATATTTATATATATGTTTATATATATATTTATATATATATTTATATTATATGTGTGCCTGTGCAGTTGTGCCAGAAGAAGCGTGCCTCACCCAAGGGGATGAAGGATACAATATGGCACACAGAGGACGTAATTTTTCTTTTCAAGCGGAAAATGTTGGAAATGTTGGTAATACCTTTTATGTTACGCGAGTGTGCTCTTTTCTTAAGTGCACACAAAGTTTAGCTAAGGTAGAAGAGTTACGAAGGTTGACTAAGAATTTATGCTCAATATTTTTGCCACTTGGTGAAAATATTACGCAGTTCCAAGCAATTTGCAGGTAATTTCCCTGTAATACAATAATTAATTTCGGTGTAAAATATATGGGTAATTTCCTCATAAAAAACATAGATATTTCCGAGTAGTTTATGGGCAATTTTTCCTAAGCAAGATTTTGACTGCTTCAACGATTACCTTTTTTATTTTATTTTTTTTTTTTTTTTATTCATCTTGACCATGCGTGTTTTTAAGGGATGATTAATGTGCTACTTTTTTTTTTTTTTTTTTTTTGTTTTTGAATTTTTCTAAAGTGTATTATTGTATGCCAGTTCATACAGGGTAGTCCTTTGAGTTCGTATTAAAGTGGGTCATATAAGAAAAAAAAAAAAAAAAAAAAAAAAAAAAATAAATAATAATAAAAACCATTTTGCGCGAAGGTGAAGTGAGACTAGCAAAAATTGGAGGTGAAAGGAATGCGAGAAGAGTAAAACAAAGCCGAGTAAAAGAAGTGACATCAAGTGAGGTTAAGCAAAGCAAAGAGAAACCAAGTGAGGCTGAATGCCGATTGTAACACACAACGATTTTTACACCCTAAATAAAAATGAGAATATTATTTGTCTCCATCACGTTGATATACCTAATTCTGGTGAACAATGTGAGCTGCCTCTTTAAAAATTTGATTAGTGAATTTTATTGCAAGAATGAGAACTGTTATAGCATCTTAGGTAAGATGAGTGAAGAAAATATAATGAAAAAAAAAAATAAAATAAAAAAATAAAAAGTAAAAGAAGTGGGACATAGTGTCACGCTTAATACCCCCCTTTCTGGTAGGGGGTACCCATCTGAGGACAGTGTTACATTTTACGAGATGTTACATCATGATCGAATGAATTGATTGTGGCATAGAGATATTCAAGTGAACTTCAAATACAGGTCTATCATGTTTTGTATGATCAGTTTTTTGTATTTGAAGAGAATTATAAATTATGCCATGCTGCCTCCCTAAGATCTGTCATATTAATTGGAAAAAAGGGGAGCTTCTAAACGTCACACCTACAGAACCCAGTGCATGAACGTAGCTGCATGATCTTACATCAGTCCAAGGAACCTGACAGCACATGTACCAACTTTCTCTTCAATTCCTATTCCCACTCAGGCGTAAGCGAAAAGTGTAGCATAAACGAAATCAGATCAGCTTATCACAGGCATTTGACAAATATGAAAAATAATTACGATTCTGAGAAAAAGAAGAAAATTGTCAAAGCTTACAATGTTTTAGCGAATAACCAAACAAGGAAATACTACGATTATTATTTGAAGTATCCAAACAGTTTCATTAATGTAATATATTTCATTTTTTATTGTGTATATAAATTAATAAAAGTGATAATAGCTTTAGTAATTATCGGGTTTCTTTTATGTGCATTCCAATATATGAATAAAAAATATGAGATGAAAAGAATAGTTCAGAAACTTTCAAAAAATAAAGCTTTCAAAAAAGAAGTACAAAATAAAATAACATTACAACATCCTGATTACCGCAACTATGAATTAGCTATAAAAAGAAAAATTGAAGAAGATATAGAAATAGAAGTAGCACAGCAGATGGGGCTCATAAACAATAAGAAAAATGAAAAGTTTTCATTTTCAGATTTAATAATTGTAAAAGTTTTACTAATACCCAAACATATTATATGTTACGTTGTATGGAATGTAAAATGGCTAATTAAATACAATATATTAAATGATGAATATGATGAAAGTGACAAAATGTATATCACTAGGAAGTGCTTAAACATTTCTGCTGACAGATGGAATGCCCTATCACATGAAGATAAAAAAATTCTGCTCAAAAAACAGCTATGGGTGAAGGAAATTCAAAATGAGTTTTTTGAAGAGCAAAAGGAGAAGGAGCGAATCAACAAAATCTCCAGCGCCAAGTATAAGAAGCAGATGCGAATGAAGAAGAAAGGCTGCAGCTTTAACTACAATGACTGAGAGGGGAGAGATCCACGTGGGGTATAGCTGTCACTGTGCAAACATACATGTGTACGCACATGCGTATATATACATATATATATATATGTATATATATGGATGTGTGAATACATGCGATGTCACACCACACTTCTGCAACACGAAGTATTCAATTTCATAAGTCGACTACATGTTCCTATTTTACTTATTTACTTCCTTTTTTTTTTTTTTTTTTTCACACTTTTTTTTAATCCTTTTCAATCCTTTTTATTTGCCTTATTTTCCCGTATTGATCACACACATGTTGTGCGATCAGAGACTGACATAATTTGATTTTTTTTTTTTTTTTTTTTTTTTTTTTTTTTTTTTTTTTTTTTTTTTTTTTTTTTTTTTTTTTTTTTTTGAATTGATAAATGTCAACTCGAATTATCATCCTAACGTAATATTTAACTTTTTATTTATTCGTTATATTTTGAAAAAAAGTTTTTACCCGCATCTCATCCAGCCATAAAATGATGTCAACACGTCTGGGTTTTCTTTTTTTTCTTCTTTTAACATATTTTTTTTTTTTTGTTTTTTTTTTTTTTTTTTATTTTGTTTTTTTGTGTATTTTTTGGTGTGCGTTGGTGAGGATGTTATTCGTGTGGCATAACTGTTTCGCATTTTCTTCTCCAAGATGAATCAACATATAAGAGATTTATGGCATGCATGCAAATATACACGTATACACACAAACAAGCCCAAAGTACAGTGCACGCCGTTCGCCTCTCGTCAACTTGTCATACTTAAGGGTTAGCTATTGGCAAACATGGAATCATTTCTTAAGGGTTAAGTGTATTTCTAAATTATCACAAAATGGGTTCAGATTTAGAAACAGAAAAAACATATATAAATAAAATGTTCAGTTCAGCTGTGTGATAAAAAAAAAAAAAAAAAAAAAAAAGGCAACGAAAGGGGCGAAAGGAAACAAATTAATCAATACGTGTTTAACGTGGGAAATCAAATTGTCGAAGATGTATCTTTAAAAAATGGAGGAAGAATGGTGGAAAAAAAAGAAAAACAAACAATAAATCTCTCATTGTTTTGGGATGATGACTTTATCGAGGCATGAAAACATATGCACCTTCATAACCTCGCCGAGAAAAAGTTATTTTTCTACGAGTTACATATTTTTTAAGAGACAGATGTATTAGGACACATGTGGCAGCATAACATGTAATTTTTAGTTATCATTTGTGTCACTATATATCTCTTTTCTAATATGTGGGAAGTTTTACTTCTTAACGTGTATGTATATATATATATATATATATATATATATATATATATATATACATATAAATATGGGTTAAGCTTGCGTTAAGATAATACCATCGTTTGATCCTCAAGTGCCCCCTTGACACTAAGTACTTTTTCCTTCAAAATGAGAAGTGCTTTTTTAAAAATATCAGCTGCGGGAAAGCAACCTGTGGATTCTATGGTAAAAACAAAATGATTTTTGATTTTCTCAAAAGAGATTTTTTTTGGATATTTTTCAATACATACCCTACAGGATGAACAATCCAATGGTTTTTTTGCTACCAAGTTATCACTATCTTCCATATCGAATACATTTTTTGGACAAATATTTATCAAGTCCTGTTTTTCTTCCTTAGTAAATTCTTCATCCGTATTAAAAGAGAATGATGGATACATTTTATAAACAGCTGTGCATACAGGTGACCATTTGGCATGAGTTTTACCAATGCCCTTTTCCAAAAAGCAGACTAATTCTATCTCTTGTCCATTACTTATTTTTGTAATTAAAATATTATCATCTACAACTTTGGGTTGATTATTTTGAAATTTTGTTTTTTGTTGTTCATTAATTGGGCACCACTTTAAATCTCTCGAATATATACTTCGATATTTTTCATTACTTCCTAATTTTTTTGTAAATTTTACGTGTAATTTAAAACAAAAACAATTTAAGTGGTTATATTTTTCACATTCGTCTTTATAATTTATTAAATCTGCATCAAATTTAAATGGAATTAATCCCAACCGATGACATAAAATTTCATCTGCTATAATTCCAGTATTTTGAAAAATGTTAACTTTCTCTACTGCAATTGTTGGTACTTCTGATAACATAATTCTTCTTAAAGCATTAGCAATGGATACATTTAAATTCTTAATTTCTAAAATTAGTAAATTTTCTTCATGCGTCATCATATTCATTTCTAAGTTATCTTCAAATTCGTTTATGTCAAACACGTGCTCATTTTCTGATAAAAAGTAGGAACCATAAAAATTAGTTGTTGTTGCATTTCTCGGCCCTTCTTCCTTCAGTTTTACAAAATTGTCTTTAAATTTTACGCCCTTCATTTTGTTCCTGTTTGGGTAGTGAAAAAAAAATGGGATAAAATTGTAATGGAAACCAAATGAGTGGGGACTACTTATAATTCAGCCGTCTTATGTGCGTAAGGTAACGGGGTATTTCCCAATAAAATAGGCATCCTCTAAACATATGAGCAGATTAAGCTCACTCAGGGTGTGCGTTATATTACCCTTTCTTCTTCTTCTTCCTCTTCTTCTCCTCAGTGTGTGTGTGTTAATATCCCCTTTGGATTAATTCTTTGAAGCGATAATGTAACTTCGGCTAGTTTGCCTAGGGGAGCTGTTTTTGGTATTGTTTGTTCTTATTTGGGACTTTTTTTTTTTTTTTTTTTTTTATTTTATTTTTTTTTATATTTTAATAACATGTATGGCAAACATATAACCGAATTATATATGTTCATGTGTCAGTGTGATGGTACATTTATGCATGCCCTCATATGCTCGCATGCAAGCCTTTCCCTCTTGTCTTTCCAATGACATGTTCAAAATTTCGATTCATGGAATAATAGCATCCCTCGTATTTATTTTCAAATAATTCTCAAGCACCCTTGGTCAGATGACAAATACATGTATGTTGCCTACGATATGTTGAAACACTATTTGTTCTTCCTACAGTGTTTTTTTTCTCTTCTTTTCCTTTATTTTATTCTATTTATTTTATTAGTTCTATTTTAACTTTTAAAAGGTCTCTATAGACATATAATATACATGTAGAACAGTTGGGGAATCTTGGCACTTATATACATGTATGCTGGCCAAGGGGTTAAATCATGATAAAGGGTTTAAATGTACAAAGGGACAAAAAAAAAAAAAAAAAACATTCTGCTGGTTCTTTTCTTTTCACGTGAGAAATAGAGCAAGATGAATGATAATATATATATATTTATTTTTTTTTCCATGTAAAGCTTTATGCGAAAACAAGTCCAGTTTTTTTTTTTTTTTTTTTTTTTTTTTAAATATAATTAGTATAAGAAGAAAATCGAAATTTGTTAGCCATGGTTAAATATGTTCAATAAAAAGTTATATAAAAAAAAAAAAAAAAAAAAACACACAATTTAACCGTTATTTTTCAGTATTTTGTACCAGAATAAAAATAAATAAAATGACAAGATCGAATAAGGTAAATTTCACTGGAGTAAATAATAGGTTATAAAATCGGATAAAAGAGCGTGCATACAACTGTAGCAACAACTTCATTATATTATGAAAAAACATATAATAATGTATAAATTGCGAAACATTACAAATTCGATGTTATTAATGTGGAATATTTTTTCTCAGATAATAATAATGTTGTATATTTACATATATATGTGATATGCATTGTACCTTTTAAAACATTTTTATGGTTGCTTTTTCTTCTGTTATTTCCCCTGCTTTTCCACCACATGTAAAGTAGGACTTTAACACAATTTTCTTTTTCTCTTTTTTTTTTTTTTTTTTATACTACATAAGTGTAGTAGCTTATCCCTGATTCCTTATTCACCTAACGGACTTTTTTTTTTTTTTTTTTTTTTTTTTTTTTTTTTTTTTTTTTTTTTTTTTTTTTTTTCTTTTTTTTTTTTTTTTTTTTTTTTTTTTTTTTTTTTTTTTTTTTTTATTTTTTTTTTTTTTTTTTTTTTTTTTTTTTTTTTTTTTTTTTTTTTTTTTTTTTTTTTTTTTTTTTTTTTTTTTCCTTTTTTTCTTTTTTTCATTTTGCCTATCTTTTTTTTCATGATTATTTGCACTTAAATGAGAATACGTGTGCCTATTAATATTAATTGTGTTTTCTCCTCATTTTGCCAAGGCTATTAAATATGTGTTACATATGTATTTGTATATATATATATATATATATAATACATTAGTTATTATAGTTGCCTTATCTGCTATATGTAATTTTTGGTTGGTATAAATTTTTAGAGCACATTTTTCTTCTTTATTTGTGACTCCGCTTGTCCCGACGTTTTTTGTAAGAAATTTAACAGGACTGATAAAAATTGGGGTAGAGGGGGGGGGGGGGGTAATGGTATATTTTTTTATATGTTATATATATTATATGTGCAATTAACACATACATTTTTCTTCTTATATTAAGACTAGGTAAATGTTTAATTTAATCAACCAACAATTTTTAAAAAATACCATCTCTTGATGTTCTGATGCACCTCAATATTGTAACCCTTGCACTTAAACGCTTGTGGGCCTTAACGCTTAAAATTCGCCTACTGCCTAATTGAGAAAAAAAAAAAGAAACAAAAAAGAAACAAAAAAGAAACAAAACAGAAACAAAACAAAAACAAAAAAGAAACAAAAAAGAAACAAAAAAGAAACAAAAAAGAAGCAAAAAAAAAAAAAAAAAACAAACAAAAAATACAATACAAATGCAAACAGAATATAGCTCAATAATCCATTTTCAGTGTTATTTTTTTAAAAATTTGATTTGATGAAATGCTTGGAAAAGGAAAAAAAGTAGAACTCATTTAAAACTAGATTTAATTTCCACCTCACCCACACCCTCAAAGGAAAAAAAACAATATCCCTCACATTCTAAAATCACGAAATTTAAGGCTGATAATTATACAACAAGAAAACAGTTCCATCGCATATTTATCCACATAGAGACCCAAAAGAAAAAAAAAAAAAAAAAACGTGACTTATTTGAAAACTGGATTAGGCAATTGTGTTATATGTAACTTTTTAGAAGATGCCAAAGAATAAAGGTTAACATGTTTTACTTTTTGCATATTTTTTTTTTTTTTTTTTTATTAACCCATATGAACATCTTACCAATTATACCTATTTTCCATGAACGTTAACCTCCCTACCATTACCCCTATTTTGTGTTTATAATTATTTGTGATTTTTAATCAGCACAGACAATAAAGTTATTTTAAGTGAAGCTATAAATGCATACACGTCTTAGTGTGTTATTATGTATGTATATATGTATTGATTTGATTTAATTTTTTTTTTTTTTTTTTTTTTGACGAAATAAATATGAACAGGTAAGGGAGGAAAAAACAGAAGGAGAGGAAAAAATGACAACGAAGGAGAAAAAAGAGAACTGTTATATAAGGAAGAAGACCAAGGTTAGATTTTCATGACATCTTAGAGAAAGCATGTTTGTAAAATTGGACACGCATTTCTTATTTGTGTGTGTGTAGATATGTATATATTTGCATATGCATACGTTTATACATATATTTACATACTTATTTATGCATATATTTACATACTTATTTATGCATATATTTACATACTTATTTATGCATATATTTACATACTTATTTATGCATATATTTTTAAGTGTATGCAAAAAGAGGACTCATCACAATTTAGTGTATGTGTATTTTTATGCTTATCCTTCACAAATACTCGAGCAATATCTTTTAAGTGAAAAAAAAAAAAAAAAAAAAAAAAAAAAAAAAAACACAAAGAAAAATTTGGATGCTACTTTGTTTTTGTAGAATATGCTCAAGTGTTAAGAATGTTGGGAAACGGAAGATTGGAAGCCCACTGTTTTGATGGAGTTAAGCGACTGTGTCATATTAGGTATGTTCTGATGGAGGACAAAGGAGAAAAATGCACATCAACTCTCAAACAAATGAATTTCCAAACCAATGAACTCCTAAGCCGATGAACGCTTGACCCCTGCCACCAGCGCGTTTGTGCATGCTCATTTAAAGTCAATATAGTAAATTTAAAATTTTTTATTTCGTCTTAGGGGAAAAATGAGAAAGAGAGTTTGGATAAATTCTGGAGATATCATTTTAGTATCCCTTAGAGATTATCAAGACAGCAAAGCGGATGTTATAGCAAAGTAAATAAGCACACCCAGAGGGGTATAATGAACCTCTTCTGTGTGTTACCCCATGCATACTACTTTTTGTGTGTAAACATATGCATGGGAAAAAGCACAAAAAAAAAAAAAAAAAAAAAAAAAAAAAAATTTATAAGATAATTTTTTTTTTTTTTTTTTTATTTTTTTTTTTTACTTTTTTTTTTATTTTTTTTTTTATTTTTTTTTTTTTTTTTTTTTTTTTTTTTTTTTTTTTTTTTTTTTTTTTTTCCTTCTTTTTTTTTT